GGGACTCCAGGATCATGACCTGAGCCGAAGGCAGTCGCTTAACTAACTGAGCCACCCAGGCGCCCAATAACACTTTTTTTAATCTTATTTTTTTATTTATTAGTTTATTTATTTTAGAGAGAGAGAGCTTGCACATGTGCATGCGGGGGAAGAGGCAGAGGGAGAAGGAGAGAGACAGACTCCATGCCTAGCACGGAGTCAAATGCAGGGCTCAATCTCATGACCCTGAGATCATGACCTGAGCCAAAATCAAGAATCCATTGATTCAGCTGGGTGGCTGAGCCACCCAGGCACCCCGTCCTCAGTAACATTTTTACAGCAAACTCAATAACAGATTTCATCTGGCTGCTTTTGACCTTTTTTTTTAAGACTATTTTTAAATAATCTCTACACCCAATATGGGGCTCAAACTCACAACCCCGAGATCAAGAGTTTCAGGCTCTACTGACTGAGCCAGCTAGGCGCCCCTGGCTGCTTTTGACCCTTAATAAAAGCCAGGGATTTGGTGCCTGCGTGGCCCAGTTGGTTAAGTGTCTGCCTTCAGTTCAGGTCACGACCCCCGAGTTCTGGGATCAAGCCCCGCATTGGGCTCCCTGCTAAGTGGGGAGTCTGCTTCTTCCTCTGCTCCTCCCCCTCTCACTCTCTTTCAAATGGAAAAATAAAATCTTAAAAAAAAAAAAGCCAGGGACTCAACTTTAAAAATGCCACTCTGAAGGCAAGCTTTCTGGTGTCCAGCTCCGTCCCGGGATAGAACTTAGGATGAGCTGTGTGTCTATAAACCATGTCCCATAAGCAGGACCACTTCTCTTTTTTGGGAGAACCTGAAAAGGACAAAGCGGGCCTGGTCCTGGGAGCTGAGCCTGAGGATTAGACATTCAGTCAACAAAAGAGCTGCACACACCAGGGGCCTGAGGCCCGAGCTCACTGAGCCGGGCTGGGGCTTGGGTGGGCTTCCGAGAGTCTCGGAGAGGCTGTGTGTACACGCACGTGGACTTTCCTCCGGAGAAGAGGCCCAGGCCTTTGCTCCAATTCTCAAAGGCATCCATGACCCCTGAAGGAGCAGGACAGCTCATCTGGGGGGTATCTTCTGCATGTTGGTTCCGTAAGTTTCCTTGTGCAGGCCCTGTCGGCTTCAGCTTCCTCTCTGGGAAAATGAAGACACTTGTTACTGATTTTTTGTCTGTGTTTCTAAGACTGTCTCGAGTCCGTCCAGCACCTGCCACTCACAGGCTGTGTAATCTCTGCGACGTTACCCAGCTTCTCCGAGCCTCAGAGTTCTATCCACTTTGTAAATGGTTGTTTGGGGAACCAGGAATGCTAATGAGGTCGATAATAGCCCCCTGACTTTGGGGCACATAGTGCTTCTGGGAGAGCCAGGGGTGGGTGAGTGAGCGTTGGACACTAGGTTGCGCTAACGGGGTGAAGTGGCGGCCAGCTCTGTGGGGCTAGCCAGGCTCCAGACTTCCACAAGCAGAGCCGCCCAGAGGCTACCCAGGTGGGGAGCTGGATTACCTGTCCTTTGCTCTGGCAGGTACTACATGGGTGACACCACGGACGTCCTGTTTGAGAAGTGGTTCTACTGCAAGGACCTTGGCACACAGTTGGCCCCCATCATCCAGGAGTGAGCCCCAGCCCAGTCCCTGCCGCTTGCTCTCTGAGGCCCCCTGCTCTGGCTGGGGAGGACAGATCCACCCAGCAGTGCCCACCACACTGGAGCCAGCGTGCCTGGGATGTGGGGGGAAAGTCTGCCCCTCCCAGGGTGGGAGGGCCTGGGCTGGAAGGGAGGGGAGGGTGGCCCTCCATCGAGTTGTGTAGGGCCCCATGAGAGTGTGGGCTCCTGCACCTAAGAGCGTATGAGTGTGTGTACCTGTGTGTCCCTGGCCGCTCATTTGGGAATGCTGGCCACTCGTACTCCTCCGCATTTCTCCCTGCAGGTTCTTCAGCTCTGAGCAGCACAAAACAGGAAAGCCCATCCCTGGTGAGCCCCCCGGGGAACCGCCTTTCTCCCTCCCTCTCTGCTTTCCCAGAGTAGAATGGGTCTTGGTCCAGAGTACCAGTCTCCTTTTGAGTTCTCTGCCCAGTGCTCAAGGTACGAGACAATGGCACCAAATAATGTCCCCCACGTGGCTGCTTGGTGCTCGAGCTGGATCCAGAGCCTATCCTGGTGATTCAGAGCTGGGAGCCCTGGGCCTGCTGAGGCTCTGGGCGGGCCAGGCCAGAGGCCACTGACATAGCTATGCTGTGGGCGCAGACCAGCTGCTCCAGGAACCGCCATTCCCCCTGAGCACACGATCTGTCATGGAGCCCATGTCCCTGGAGGCCTGGCTGGATGGCCACCGCAGACAGCTGCAGGCAGGCACACCCCTCAGCCTGTTTGGGGACACCTATGAGACACAGGTAATGAGGCCCTGGGCCACCCAGGGCATCTACCCAGCAGCCCTAGGAGATGGGAACTAATCACCCACACATGCGCACGTGCACACACACACACACACACACACAGAGTTTCAGAGGTTGTGACACAAACAGAGGTCTTCCTGTTTCCTCCCTGAGGAGTGGAGTCTATGTGGTCTCAAGCAGTCTTTCTTTGCCTTCAGAGTAGGGGGTTGCCCCATACACTGACCGATTCCTGGGGGTCTAGAGTTATCCTTCTACTAGGAATTCCTGAACTTTTGGCCAGTCTCAGCCTGGGGACCCGGAAGGAGGAGAGGTGCCTGGGGGTGAGGGTTGGGTGGAGAGGTGCACGGAGAGAGACCCACCCAAACAAAGTTGGCCTTCTTTCATTCAGCATTTGTTGAATGCCTATGATGTTTCAGGCTTTGGTAGGAGAAAAAGAGTCACTTCCTCAAAGAGTGTATGGTCTGATAAACAGACAAGTTAATCAACAATTACCACAATCAGGTGGTATGTTATTTGGTAAAGAAGATTCAGGAAGCCATAGGACAATGAAGGAGGAACCCAGGCTGGGAGGGAAGTCAGGGAAGACTTCTTAGAGGAGGTGACGTGTAAGCTGCATTTTAAAGCAAATATAGGAGTTTGCAAAAGGAAGAAAGGGAGGCTGAGAGAGCATTCCAGGTAAGGGAAAAGCATGGGTAAAGGCATGGAAGCTTGCAATAGCCTGGCACTGCAAGTAGCTGAAATTGGCAGGAGCCAGGGCAGGGGAGTGGGGGCAGGAAGCACAATGGCTGGATGGCAGGAGTAGCAGGCAGTGCCCAGGTCCTGACAGGTCTCCTGGGCTGGACAAGGTACAAGGCTTGGGCTTGCTTGTCCTTTACAGTTTGCCATGGGCGCATACGTTGCAGTTTGAATCAGACACCCTCGTGGAGGGATGCTCCCTGGGTACACACCTGCCCTGAAAGTTCTGGCCTGCAGACACCTGAGCTTACACAGGGCCGTGAAAACAGGGGCACGCCACAAAGCCCCTCCCAGCCCAACACGGCAATAGCATTCGGCATCGAGCTGGCCTCCCAGTGCTGCCTTCTGCCACGTGCACACGCCTGTTCCCACCTGCTTCAGTTTATGCCAACAGATATCTACTGAGTCCCGCTCTGGGCCAGCAGGAGCGAGGCCTGCACAGTCGCTGCTGGGCTGATGCAGGTCAAAAAGCCTCGTCCCCTCCCATCTCCCTCCTCCTCCTCAGGCCAGAATCCCATGGAAGAAGGCAGGTGGGCACTCTTTGGGGAGCTCTGTGTGTGATACACGAGTCCACGCTAAGCCGTGCACACATGAGTGTGTGTGTCCCGAGCGTGCCCCTGGCAGTCATGCCTTCATATGGGTCAGCAGTCGTGGGCATGGGCGGCCGAGGCATCCGATGCACATGTGCGTGTGAAGGGCAGGCAGGCGTGGTCCTGGACGGCGGGCAGCACTGCTCAGCAGGGAGGCAGCAGGGAGGCTCGCGGCCTGGCAGCCTTCCCCTCCAAGTCCTGGTCTTGGCCCTACACATGAAGATAAGGCTGTGCCTGGTGCTGCAGGCCTAGCGTCTGGGGGGCAGGTTCAAGGCCATCTCCTGTGTGGGGCAGAAGCACCAGAAAGATGTATGTCGCTTCCTGCCAGGTGATCGTCCATGGACAAGGCAGCAGCGAAGGCCCGAGACAGGACGTGGATGTGTGGCTGTGGCAGTTGGCAAGTGGGGCCCCTGGCAGAGGGTGGCACATCCTCCTGCCCATGGGGACCAGGTTGCTCCTGGGCCTTGGACGCCCAGAGCCTGGAGTGGCTCCCAGGGCCTCCTTGCCAAGGCAGACTCAGGGACCCCTGGACAGGTGTTGAGGCCCAACGGCCTCCATTCCCATTCTCCTGCTCCTCTTTCCCAGGAGGGCTCCTCTGTGGTGACAGTGGGGCAACAGCACCTGAGCCTGGCCCCGGATGACAGCCTTCTGGTGCCAGCCGGGAACGCGTGAGTGCACGGGAGGACTTTTCCCCCGCCAAGCTGTGGGACCACCCTCCTTCCCCTGGGATCCTCAGGGCCCACCTGTCTGACCCCAGCCCACCCGTGTCTCCACAGGTACACCTGGGAGCAAGGGCAGGGCTCTGTGGCCCTGGCTGTGACCCAGGACCCCGCCCGCAAGAAGCCCCTGGGCTGATCCTCTGGGTGCAGCCCGAAGCAGTGCCTCCCTCCCCCACATAACTCCCCTGCCGGCTCTGCTTCTGGATGTACCACTGCTGAGCCACTCTGTGTCCCCGGAACTGGGCCCTCGACATCGCCATCCACCCTCCTGTCCTCTCGGCCGAGATGCCAGGCTCTTGGGGGGATGGTGGTGCCCCTTCTCCTCTAACAGCCCTCTGTCCACTGCCCTGCACAGTCTGCTCCTTGATGGAGGCCAGACTACCTCTCCATTCCTCTGTCCCCACAGGCCCAGCGCAGCACCTGCCTGCTACCCAGAGGGCCCTCAATAAAGGCTTCCGGGTAGACAAACGCCTGTATGTCTGCATGCACACAGGCTGTCATGGATGGCCGACCCCCTGTACTCCTGTGACTCGTGTGTGTGTGTATGTGTGTGTGTGTGGTGTGTTGGGGGCACCAGGTGCACGTAGATGTGTGGACAGTCTGTTAGTGGGCGTCCCTACTCGTAAAGGGGCTCTCTTCACTGTGTGTGTGTGGCCCATCCATTCTCACTCCTGTGCTCGTCCTGGGGACAGGGTTCATATCGTCCCTCCGCCTCTTGAATCTTTCCCGCTTACTCTTTTTACATGACTTTTAAAAAATAGCGTCTGTTGGGTTTTTTCTCCCCAGTAACAAGTGATGTGTACTAATCATAGAAAACAAAAATACTTAAAAAGCCAAGATCCACCACTCAGAATTAGCCACGGTTAGCAGATGAAGATCACAATAACGCTCCCCCCGCCGCTACGTACAGGCGCCGTGTCCAAAGACTCAGAAGGCTCCTGGGTGCTCTGCGGAGTCCAGGAGTGCCGGGAACCCTAGAAGCAGCCGTGGGTAGAGACAAAACCCAGAACCTACAGCGGAGACCAGAGCCCGGTTTCCTGGGACTTCAGTGAGAAGTCCAGAAGGGGTTGCAGGTGGGGGTAATCAAAGTGGGGTCTGGATGGAACAGGTCCCTGGTTAGGGTCAAAGCTTCCTCTGGAAAACGTGGACTCTAACCCCTGCCTTCCCCCACTGCGGCCCACTGTTTTGATTCGCTCCACCATCTGTTTTGAAAGCAGATGGGAACCTGGCTTTGCTGAAAGGGTTTCCACCCCAGGGCCTGTGCCCACCTCTCTACCCCTAAGGCTTTCCTCTCCCACCAGCCAAGAAGAAACACTGGCAGCCTCCCCCACAAACTCACACAGTCCAGGAGGTGAAGCCAGAGGCTAGTCCAAACGTGGGCCACAGCAGGGTATTGCTCTGATCCCCCAGGAGAGAACACGGGGAATGTCCCGCAGAGGCGCCCCCTGCACAGGGCCAGGCGGCCAGGAGAAGACGAGCTTGTCCCTAGTGCCCAGGACAGACCTAACCTGAGAAAATAACAAAAATGAGATCTTCTGTTTTTCTGAACATTGGCTCCGTGCTAGGGAGTTCCCTGAGAGGTTTGGCAAACAAGCGGCTGTTTCCAAACAAGGCCTGTCTGCATTCAAAGCTCAGGCTGGTGGTCTCACCACCCAGCACCCTGGGGTCACAGCCTCTTACGGCCTGTCTCCCTCAGCCTTGGCCAGATGAGAGCCCAGGACAGAGGTGAGAGAGGCCTGGAGGTTCTGAGAAAGAGAGGCCAATGGCCACTGTGTCTGAAGCCCCGAGGCCTAGGCAGAGTTGGCACGCACGCACCCTGCTGACCGTAGCCAGCCGGCAAGGGCGGGTGTCAGATCCTGCAGCCCGGAGCCGCAGGCTCCCTCGGCACTGTCCCACGTCAGGAGGAGTCCAAGGCCCCAGGGGCTCCTGAGAACACCACGCAGTAGAGGAGCAGGAAAACCTTGCCTGAAGACAGCCCGGAATCTACTGCCCTGTCTGTGGTGAATGCTGGGTGCAGATGGAGTGGGGCGGACAGTGGACAGGGTATCTTGAAGGCTCTGAGGATTGTTCTGTCTGGGGGAGGAGCCCAGTTTCTACTGGCAGGGGAGCTCTCTGCGTGTGGGAGGTATTTCGTGGGGTACATGGACTTTGGACCATCGGGAATTGGGGATGGCAGGGCACAAACAGGCTTATGCCACAAGGCCATGAGCACGTGGTTAAGGTATTGGCTGGAATCCCCACCTCCCTCTCCGGGGACAACGTCCTGTTAGCTCCACACTCCCTGCTTCCAGAGCTGGTGGGGGCAGGGAGGCAGCCACCCAGTCTGTACAAGGGGGTTTACAGGGTGGCCTGCATGACCCTGAGAGCTATGGGTTGCCAGGACCAGCTCCGGCCTTCGGGCAAGCAAACGTCTGAGCCCTCGGCGCTGTGGACACTCTTCCCCTCCTCACCCCAGCTGGGCCTTCCTCCCACTTCAGGTTCTCCCTGGGCCTCCGTCTCACCCCTGCCAAGCCCTGCTCTCCTCCTGTGCCAGGGGCAGCCCAGACTCCCCCCACTCCCTTCAGAGACCTCGCAGCCAGGTCACTCAGTGTGGGGGCAGGGGAAGGGGCGGGAGGGCTGCAGGGTTCCCCTTTGGCTGGGTGTTTCTCAGTGGCTGCAAGGATGCTGATAAAAACCCCAGGATATTGAGTCATCATGGTGACTAGCTGGTAGTGAGCATCATTCCACTCTGCCCTGAACACTCTTGCAGGGGTAGAAAGCTCGAAGGGGTAGAAAGGGGTAGAAAGCTGGAAACTTCTCTCATGGAATCTCATAACCTGAGCTCTTCCTCTCCCCTCCTTTCTCTCCCTCCCTCTGCTCTCCCTGCCTCCCTCCCCACCTCCCTCCCTCCCTTCCTCTCCTCCTCTTCTTCAGCCTTCACCACAGACTTGGGGACCACCAGAGAGGCCACGGTTTCCTGCTTCCCAGCCTTCTCCCCCACCGTGTCTGCCCTCCTAGCGCCGATCCTGGGTATGGAGTTCGTCCTGGGCCTGGTGGGGAACAGCTTGGCACTCTTCATCTTCTGCTTCCACACGCGGCCCTGGACGTCAAACACGGTTTTCCTGGTCAGCCTGGTCATTGCCGACTTTCTCCTGATCATCAACCTGCCCCTTCGCGTGGACTACTACTTCCTGCAGGAGCACTGGCGCTTTGGGGCCACCGCCTGCAAGCTCAACCTCTTCATGCTGTCCACCAACCGCTCGGCCAGTGTGGTCTTCCTCACGGCTGTTGCACTCAACCGCTACCTGAAGGTGGTGCGGCCCCACCACGTGCTGAGCCGGGCCTCCGTGTGGGCGGCCGCCAGGGTGGCCGGGGGGCTCTGGGCCAGCATCCTGCTCCTCAACGGGCACCTGCTCCTGGCTGCCTATACCGACGGCTCCTGCCTCAGTTACCAGCTGAGCACGAGGTCCTCGGCCTCACTCCACTGGCACCAGGCCCTGTTCATGCTGGAATTCTTCCTGCCGCTGGCCCTCATCCTCTTTGCCATTGTGAGCATTGGGCTCACGATCCGGCGCCGCAGCCTGGGGGGGCAGGCGGGCCCGCAGAGAGCTGTGCGTATGCTGGCCACCGTGGTGGCCGTCTACACCGTCTGCTTCTTGCCCAGCATCGTCTTCGGCATGGCTTCCATGGTGGCCTTCTGCCTGCATGCCTGCCACGCCCTCGACCTCTGCACACAGCTCTTCCACGGCTCCCTGGCCATTACTTACCTCAACAGTGTCCTGGACCCTGTGCTCTACTGCTTCTCGAGCCCCAACTTCCTCCACCAGGTCCAGGCCCTGCTGGGCCTCAGCCAGGGCCGTCAGGGCCCAGCCAGTGATGAGAGCTCCTACCAGCCCTCCAACCCGGCACCGGGAGGCCTCTGGGAAGGCGCAGGCTGCAGAGAAGCTGCAGGTGGAGGTCTCGCTGGAGGGCCCGCTCAAGTAAGGAGGCCCCTCCCGAGACTGGGGGTTCACAGGGCCGCAGGAGGAAGGACGGCCGGGCTCTGACCTGGAGGGAAAATGTTGCCAGCACAGGGTGCCTCAACCAGCGGGACATCTGCAGGAGCCAGGTGGGTGGCAGGGGAAGGAAAGGGTCTTGACCTTACACAGCAGTGTGTCCCAGATGACATCCCCAGAGCACAGGAAAGAGCCCGACGGCAGGTGGAGACAGGCAGGGGCTGTGACAGCTCCCCTCCAGACAAAGGGCCACCCAGCAGCCCAGTCCAGGAGCCAGAATGTGAGGACTGAGAGCACAAGTCTTGCTTTGGAGATTGGACAGCCACATTTTCTGTCATCTCTAACTTGTCCCTTTCAATGCTAATAAACTTCCTTTTGAAAATGCAAGTTTGCCTCAGCTGTTCTAAGGAAAACCCAATAAATGTCTTCAGGCCCATCTGGCCCTGGGGTCAATGGGGTTCAAAGCGAGTGCCCCAAGAGGAAGGGAAACACTGGGGACAGAGTGAGGAAGCCACCCAGGGCACCATCCTTCCATATTGCTCCTGGAGGACGGCAGTATCCTTCTAGGCAGAATGCTTCTCCGCGTCATAGGAAGGGCAGCTCCTCTGGAGCCCTGGGAGACCCCTGTTCCTCTCTGGCCTTCAGCTCCCCTTCTGCAGTCTTTGAGTTCTTGCCCAGCGCACCAAGGATTCAGCGCTGCCCTCCATCCAGGTCAGGCTCCTGGCTCAGCTCGGGCTTCCTCCCACGGCTTTCCTCAGCCCCAAGTACCCTTCCCCGGCTTTGGAACCTGGGGTGACAGTAACCTGAGCAGGCCAGGACCCCAGCTAAGGGCAGGAGCCTGAGTCACAGGGCTTGCTCATGGTGCTCTGCCAGGACAAAAGCCATCTTGCCTACCTCTATTCCTTTGTTCTGCTCAGTATGCCTGTGGTCAGGGTCAAACCCTCTGGGTTAACCCATCTGTTGTCCCCCAGGCACAAGGTGTATACCTGGCATGAATTTGGGGGTTTTTTTGGAGGGGAGGGCGGGGGGCAGAGGGGTCGTGGTTAGCCCTTCTGTCCACAGGGGAAGTCACTGACTAGTAGCTGCTTTTAGGACAAATTCCTAAAATACTTGTGCAGACCCAATCTGCATTTTCTACTCCAATCTCCTAACTTTTGGAAAACAAGAAGTTTTCTAATCTGGGTTGGGGGAGGGTGAGGCAGAGCCTTCAAGTCTTTTCAAAGGGCTACTTAGAGGTCAGTAAGGTCCCGAACGTGCACCACCTGAACCCCACGTGCCCCCAACCCTGGCCACCTCAGGAAAATGAGCACATATGTCCTCCCCACTGGCAGGACAGAAGAGGCTGGAACTGGTTCTCCACTTACCATCTCAGCCACAGGCCTCCAGACCTCAGGTACAGGGTCTGATGAGGGCACCAAGTCCTCTCTCCCCAATTCCCTTTGGAGTTTTAATCCAAGTCCAACCCTCTCATATCACAGACAGGGACACTCTCCCTCTGGTACAAGTCCTCAGGAATGGAGGCCAAACCCTAGGAGTCACCCGTGCCCCGGGAGGGAGGCACCCAGGAGTAATGCGGATGTTGGGGTGGGAGATGGAGAACATGTCAGGTGGAGGGAGGTGCCCTGGGGGACAACAGGTTGGATGGATACTGGACCCCATCTCCCTGGTGTGTCACCAGCCTACTTTCTTTTTCTGAAAACTCCCCAGCTGCTCTCAAAGCAAGGGTGTGCTGCCTGGGCCCCTGCAAGGGGCTTCCTCATGCCTTTCTGCCCTCCATGGCCCCTTGCTCCATACCTCCCTTCTTGCTGCTAACTCTTTGACCCTCGTAGAGCCACTCCTAGGGACTCCCCACTTCTCCACCCTCTGCCATGGGGAGGAGCAGGCCAAGTCTGGGCCAGCCCAACCTCAGCCTGAGATTTGTAACTGCCAGGTCAGACTGGAGACTTGGGACTGAGCACGTTCTCATGGAGCCTCACCCCCAGGGCGCAAACATGCACTGTGTGCTGAACGCCAGGCACCTTCCATCTGGTACCATCTCTTCCCGCGTTTGTGGGCCAGGGTGGCTCTATGGGCAAGTGGGGCTCCGTGTGCCATTTCCTCCGTCTTCTCTTCACTGGCCCCTTCTCATCTACTGCACCATCCTGTCCACCCACCTTCTCAGCACCTGGGCTCACTTGCCCTGCCCCCATTCCCCCAAATGGTTCCCATGGCTTCTGTGCAGTGCTGTCTCTCCCCTTGAGGAGCCCTAGAGTAGACACCAGCCACAGTTTGGGTCCACTCCTGACCTGCCCGGTATCCTCCTTGCCCCCTCCCTGACAAGCTGGGCCACCCTGCCCTTCACAAAGCCCTCTCTACAGGGAGTCTGGATGTCCCTCACGGGAGAGAAGCAGGGACTCAGGCTGCCTCCACATTCTCCCTGCATGGGAGGCCTTCCTGGTCCTGACGTTGGTCCTGACATAGTTCTCCATCTGTGAAATGGGAACAGTGATTCTGGCTCTCACCCGGCTCCAGGGCTTGGAGATCGGAACAACTGAGATGCCAGAGTGCTTAGTGAGGAAGGTCGTTTTTACATGGTGAGGGAGGGGAAGACGGAATGAGAAGGAATGGAAGAGGAAAGGAAGGCAAACTGTGATGAAGTGTAGGGTTTCCTACAGGTGGGGGTGGGGGCGGCACCCATGGTGGTATGCGGTGAGTTGGAGGCAGGATGAGTAAAGACCCCTCTCCTACATTTGAGTTCCAAACATCATTTTGGTCCCCTGGGTGAGCTGCACCATTTCGTGTGAATTTGGAGCAGGGCTTTCTCTTCTTTCTCCTAATATCCCCTGAGACAGCAAATGGCATCCATTAGTTTACTCTGGGGACTTCTGTGCCGAGGGAGAGCAGGAAAGGCTGGGCTGACAGCCCATAGCCACTCATCATCAGCATTTACCGGGCTCCCACCCGGTAAGCCACACACTAAGCTACAGAGGCCGATGATCGGACTCTGACCTTGACCCCTCCAGGCCAAGCCTGGGAGAAGCTTGATCTACAAGTGGACCAAATGCAACCCAAGCCAGTGTAATCCAAGGTTTTTGGACGTAGCAGTGCATAGCTGGGGGCACAGAAGAGCTAACTGCCTAGTGTCAGTGAAGTGATGCATGCAAGCTCAATCCTGGAGGATGAGGAAAGTAGCAGAGGGAACAGCATCTCTGGCACAGGGCACAGCACTGTGAGAAGAGCTGGCATGTAGGGAAGGCTGAGGTCGCTGAAGCGAGGAGGCGGCCTAGGCACAAAGTTAGGAACAGGCAGGAAGGCAGGGCGAGCCAACTAGGCTCACCACATTCAGAATGTGCCCCAAAAGACAGGGACCGCCCAGGGCGCCTGGGTGGCTCAGATGGTTAAGCGTCTGCCTTCGGCTCAGGTCATGATCCCAGGGTCCTGGGATCGAGTCCCGCATCGGGCTCCCTGCTCTGTGGGGGCCCTGCTCTCCCTCTGCCTCTCTCTCTCTCTCTCTCCTCTCCCTCTCTCTCTCTTACCCCCAAGAAAAAAAAAAAAAAAAAAATAAAAAAAAAAAAAAAAGACAGGGACTGCCCATCCACAGAGGGCTCCACAGCTGCAAAGTCCTGTGGTGGCAGGATCAAAACCAGCCCCTAGCAGGTGCACGGCAGTTGAGGTCCCAAGGCAAGTAGCAGAATCTGTCAGGCTCCCTGTTAAGAATGTCTGTTGAAAAAGTATGATGCCAGACACCTGGGTGGCTGTTGGTTAAGCGTCTGTCTTTCTCTCAGGAGTCCCACATCGGGCTCCCTACTCAGCGGGGAGTCTGCTCTCTCTCCCTCTGCCCTTCCGCCCTGCTCATTCCCTCTCTCCCTAATACATAAAAAAAGAAAAAGAATATGAGGCCTTTAGAACTAATGGTGGTGAATGGTTTCTGCTTCTTGCATCCATTGATCCTGACGAAAACATATGCTTTAGAGATAAAAAGGTAATGAAACCTTTTTCATAAGGGGTGCTGTGGGCAGAGAGGAGGGCATGTGTGACAGGTAAGAGAGAGTATCTTGAAAAAAAAAAAAAACTATGTTTTGCTATGACCCCGTTCCTATACTCCTGAAATTTGAGACCGTTATCATTTGAACAATCTAACCTTCGTCTCTCACCTCATCTGACTCCCCCCAAGTCAGTGAAACCAGAGTTGGAAGGGAAAGAATGCACCCAGTCTCTCCAAAGGATAGTATCAAGATGAGCTCACATGCACTAGGACACGCCAAGTAGTCTACCAGAACTATGGCCTCCACCCACAGAGGGTCCCAATTCCAAGTAGTCTAC